GAAGGTCCAAAGGCTTACTGTTAGAGGGATTTGTAGCAGAAGCAAGAAAGGTGGTGTTTTCTGATCTGCGGCTGCTGGTGGGTCCCAGAGCGGCCATCTTGGGTGTGACAGCTCTGATACAAGAGCAGGGGCGTGCTCCCATCCAGGGGTCTGGCTGATCACAGGAGATACTGGTGTTAACATTTTTTTTCTGTTCATTGACTCATTGCGCATTTTTTTTCTGTTCATTTGACTCATTGCGCATTTCCTCTGGTGACTAGAGGGGGTGGGACACTCCCCCCACCCCTGGAGGGTGGTTACATGCACACAGATCTGCTCAGCAAAGACCACTGCACACAGACTCAAAAAAGGGGGAGGAGTCAACAGAAACGAAACAGAACAGTCTCCCAGAATGGCTCAAGCTGGCCCTGGACTGTTCCTCTCTAGGATACACACCTGAACAGGGTTGAGGAGGAGGAGAGAGACAGACAAAAAAGGGAAGAGGTTGAAAATTAAATATTGAATTACATCATAAGGAGCAATGGTAACATCTTGAAATTTCTCAGGCAGCCTTGAAGGCAAGAAGCCAAGAGAGGGGCATCAAAGTCTTACTCATATTTTGCTTCGTGTATGTGTGTGTGTGTATGTGTGTATGTGTGTGTGTGTGTGGCAATTATAGACTTTAGTTTCCAATCTGTTTGTTTTTTTCTGTTGTTTTGTTTTTTTGGTACCTCTTTTACTTAGGGGCGGTTCTTTCTCTCCTTATGTTAACCAAGAAGAGATAGCAACTACGGTCATATAGCCAAGCTACAATCACACCCTATAAAATCCCACCATCTGGGCAAGAGCCAATACCAACTGCTATACACCAGACAGATAGCCAAAACTTGCTACAGTTACTCTGAGTTGAATGATAAGAGAAGGGAAAAGGGAAACCCATTTTCTGATCACGTCTACCTGGAAAGCTTAATTGTTGTTGTTGTTGTTAAGTGCCTTCGAGTCGGAGCCGACCCATAGCGACCCTGTACAGGGTTTCCAAGGGTGTAAATCCTTACGGGAGTAGAAAGCCTCATCTTTCTCCCGCGGAGCGGCTGGTAGTTTCGAACCACTGACCTTAAGGTTCACAGCCCGATTCGTAACCACTACGCTACCAGAGCTCCTTATAATACATCAGAAAACTTAATAATACATCAACATACATTCATCTAATTATTGAAAATACATCTAATTATTGAAAATTCCCAAGAAACAACTGAAGATATCAGCACATGTCCAAAAACAAAATTAGAGTAGAGGAAACAAATGAACTGGAGGTAGACCTAGACCTCCCATTGGAAGGAGAGCAGGCATGGAACTGCCTGAGAAGGAATTGAGGAGAATGATAATGAGGTGCATCCAAGTGTTCCACAGACAGGTAAAGAAAAACAAGGAAGAAGTCAGGAAAGTGTTACAGGAACAACCAAATAAGACAGAAATAGCATTGGAAACAATTCAAAACCTGCAAAAAGAGGTCCAAATGATTCATAATAAAATATCAGAAGTGGACAATACACTGAAAAGGGCAAAGGCGTAGAATTGAAGGGATGGAAGCCAGAACCAGCAAACTGGAAGACAAATCTCTCAATATTGCTGAGATAGAAGAGCAAGCAAAAAAAAAAAAGGACTAAAAAGTGTAAATTGCTAGTTTGATGAAGGTGACCTATACTTATGGATGAACAAAATATCAACTGAGAGGGAAGGACTCTTCACATCAAGGATCAAGCCTATCCCCTCGGTATACAGGGGTGGTAGGGATGGGCAACTTAGTTATTGGCTTCCTAAAATTGAGGGGGGGCAGGTAGGGTGACTATTCCAGAAGGAATTTCGTTTCAGAGTGTGTGGGGAAAGGTAGAATCCCCACCGAGCTTGCAGAGTGTGCCCTTGGATTGCTTAAATGATTATATATTCCTGAGTGTTTTTGTGTAAATCAAAAAAGTAAAATAAAAATCAGAGGGAATAGAAGCAAATACTGTTGAATGATAATGCATTGAAGGGACTGCAATCATTGCAATGAAACGAAATACCAAGTGTTAGATCAGTGTTCTCCCTTGTAAACTATCACATGATTCACAACAAAAGCTTAAAAAGGAAAAAAAAAAAAAAAAGCCTATGCATAATCGACAAAGCAAAAGTAAAATCTTTCTGATATTCTCTCAGCTAAAATTCATCTGACATCAACAGTGATATACACAGTTCCATGTACTCTTCTGAATCCAGGTTGAATTTTTGACAACTCTGTTGATGTACTTTTGCAACCATTTTTTAACTCAGCAAAATTTTACTTGCATGTGATGCTAATGATATTGTTCAATATTTTCTGCATTCCACTGGGTCACCTCTCTTGGGAATGGGCACATCCAATCGGTTGGTCTGATAGCTCTTTCAAATTACTTGGCAAAGTACCTCCAGTGCGGCATCAGTTTGTACAAAGATTTCTATTTGTATTCCATCAATTCCTGGGGCCTTGCGCTTTTTTGTCAATGTCTTCTGTGCAGGTGGGACTTCTTCAGTACTCCTGGTTCTTGATCATATACTACTTCTTGAAATACTTAAACACAGACCATCTATTTCTTTTTGGTATAATGACTCTGTATTCCTTCCATTTTCTTTTGATGCTTTCCACATCATTCAATATTTTGTCTATAGAAGCCTTCGATATTTTGTAAGTCAGGGCTTGAATTTTTTCTTTAGTTCTTTCAGCTTGTGAAATGCTGAGTGTGTTCTTCCTTTTTGATTTTCCACAATCACTAGTCTTTAAAATATACTATGAAAAGGGGATCTGTGGTCCTATGTTTTGGGAAATAAATATTTATCTTCTCCCACCCCTTGCAAATTCACAGTTTTAATACTATATGCATATATTAAAGGTAAAATGGTATCTTACTAAAATAAGTAAATAGCTTTTTAAAAATAAATAAATAACTTTAACTTTGTTCCCATACTCATTCGACCAGAGTCTTTTTCTACACCTTTTGGTATCCAAGTAACAGAATTTGGAAAATGCTGCTTACCTTTCCTGACAGATGACTAATCTGCTTCAGCATGATTATTTCCAGAGACAGAAATGGCTACTACCTCCATGTAATTAATTCCATTATGGACAGCTGATAGTAGTGACACTTCAACTATTAATTTACCATTTTTTACCTTAAATTGTACAGTTGATTCATTACATAGTGTTAAAAATCCTATCTACATATTCTTCCAAGAAAGAATGATCCAGCTATTAGAAACTTAGAGTAGCTTCTCTACAAATGTCATGCCCTTTCATGCATGCTATCTTTTCTATGTGGAATACTGTCATTCATCCTATAAACACTGATCCTGTGAAATCTCTCAAGTTCTTTTAGAATCAGTTACAGACTAACTTCCTTTATACTGCTTTATCCCTAGGTACAAATCAGTTGCTACATGCTCCTGAAGCTCCTTATAGATCACTGTATTGAGACCCCATCATTATTACCTTACAACCATCTATCTATATATGTCTTTCCTATCAACTCTGAGCATCCTAACAACAGAATGTCTATACTACAGTAAACTTTTGAAAGCCAAAATACCTATGCAAAGGCAGACACCAGTCAGAAAAGAAAAGCTCAAGACTAAAACAAGCAAGAGAAAAAGTGCTAAGACCACACCTGTCAAAGGCAGAAAACTTACAGACCTAGAAAAGCAAAGCATTCCCATGGAGTTCCAACTCTCACAGATTTCAATGCATTAGAGTCTCTTATGTCAACCTCTGATTATTACTGTCATTCTATTATTCTTCTTTATCCCAATCACAATTTGTATTTTTAAAACGCTACAAAATGACCTCAAATCCCTTGTGGAGGAAATTACTAGTAACAATAAGTAGCATTGGGTGCCTACTGTAAGCCAGACACTCCTCCAGGCACTTGATCCCTAATCCTAGATAATTAATTTTGTTGATATTGTTGTTGTTAAGTGCTACCAAGTCGGTTTCAACTCACAGCGATGCTGTAGAGTGTTCCTGAGACGCAGCTGGTGGGACTGAACTGCGACTTTGTGGGTAGCTGTCCAGTACTGATCCCACAGAGCCACACCAGAAGTCCAGATGATTAATAGAAAGGTACTATTAATTAAACTTTACAGGTGGTAACCAGAAGTAGAGAGGGATTAAATGAGTTATACAAGTTTGTAGACCTAATCTGTGTTAGGTTTAGATCCTAGGTTTGAATGACTACAAAGTCCCACAACCCATAAGATCTGCTGTAACTAAAGACATCATCCTACACTTCTCATGAAGCAAGCCTTAGAGCATGGCACAGTACTGTCTTTCACAGGACCATTTTCTAATAGTACTCTAGGAATTCATTTACAATTTTGAACTTACCAGTTAAACAAAAAAAGATAAATCACTTGGCACTAATCTTAGACATCACTTAGAAAAAAAATAACCTTTTGATAATGGCAACCTCTAGTCCCTCCCAAATAAGAGTCCTGATGTAGCACTGTAGGATCAGCACTGGACTGCAAACCACAAGGTTGGCAGTTCAAACCCACCAGCTGCTCCTCGGAAACTCTATACAGGATTGCTTTGAGTCAGAACCGACTCCACGGCACTCAACAACAACAAATAAAAGAGTTCTGGTGTGGCGCTGTAGGATAAGCACTGGACTTCTAACAAAAGGCTGGCAGTTCAACCCCACCAACCACTCCTTGGAAGCGTTATTCAAGATTGCTATTAGTCGAAACCACCTTGATGGCACTTAACAACAATAAACATAAGAGAAAATCACACCATAACTGAAAGTCCAAATATCAAATACAAATAAAATACTTCACATTAACAACTAAGCTAATGAAAAAAGATTTAAGTCAAAAAGAAAAAAAAAAAAAAAAAAAAAAAGATACATAATTCCTAAATGTGACTGTGCAATATGTTTTGACAGCTCTAAAACACAGACCAAAAATGTAATTTATAATCCAAAATTACTGAGAAGTAATAAAATCGTCCTTACCTGCTGAGGTCACTTTTTCCACGGTGGTGATAGTGGTCAGGATGGCTGAGGTGGTAGTGCTCCTGGGCACTCCACCTCTGGGGTGGCCTTTTCCAAAATCCTTCCTGAGATTGCCCAGCATTTCTGTCTGATTGGTCAAAGCGGTTCATATTGTCACACTCCACTAGACAGATTGAAAAGCAAAACACTATAAACATGTACACAATCTACAGACGTCTGTCTGATCGGTCAAAGCGGTTCATATTGTCACACTCCACTAGACAGATTGAAAAGCAAAACACTATAAACATGTACACAATCTACATGTTTGTTAACTACTTATAGCTTGACACAATCGATCATATAAAAGCAGTATTCTAAAAACAAGAGCCATTCATGTCAGCAAAACACTAACTTACATTTTTCAGAGGAAAAATAATGAGTTATTTTGATAAATGAATTTTATAGTATTCAGACTGAAGAAAATTATAATTTTTGTAATCAGTCACACAAGTAAACAAGTAACTGCCACAGTTTTATAACAACCAAATTATCCTTGAAATCAACATTATCCATTTTAATAGTAATCAGTTTTTAAATTATTTTATCATATACTAGTTAGTTCTGATTTCGGAGTGAAAATTACGGAGAAAAGTAGATTTTAAATCTAGTAAAAAATTAGTTCCTAAAACAAACAGCACAACTAATATTCATTGATTTCAAACAATACAGATTAACTTTTTACCAAAGACAATTATTTTTAAACGATGTTCACATTTTTAGAAAGTAAGACTCTTCAAATCTGCCAGGAGTATAGCTTGTTCCAAAGTCTAAAATGTCACTGAAACAAAGTCAGCAACAAACAGTGCATTCCCTGCAACCCACATACCACAAAAAACACGTAAAGCATTTCTCTGAAGCACCAGAGACTCTCCTTCACTTACCCAAAGACTTTGTCCTCACATATCTGAGCACTCACTAAGAGAGTTACTTTGTACAAGGGAGACATTGTATTGCTCGGCAGCCTGCTCAGACATAGTTGCATGCAAGGCACTGACAAACAGGCCTTCCTTCCTGCTCAGCTCCCAGCCCTCCCTTGGGAAACAAGCCAGTTTACCCTGTGACTCCATCTTCACTCAGTGCTCACATAGCTATTGAGTTAGAACTGTTACTAAAAATACAATGAAGCACTAACCCAAGCCACAGAACAGGAAAGGTTTCTCCAGTCTGAGAATTATTGCATGAGAAAGTTCAAATTCTACATAGTCACAATTCCGTGTGATTAAAAGCTTTAGTATTCAACATAATCCCCAATTTGAGAGGGAAAAATAATCATTTATCTAAATGGCTCGAATATTTCTCTTAACCAAAATATTTTTAATTTGAAAAATGGGAGGTGAGTCATTATAGCAAAAACAAATGTCACCAATCCCCTCCCCAAAAACAACGAAACCATTATCATTAAAGTATAGATGTTCAAGTCTCGTATATATTAAACATATTTTAATGATGGTTTGTTTTTAATACATAGGAATTTTAATGAAGTCCTGGTATAGCGGTGTAGGGTAAACAAGGTTGGTGGTTCAAACTCACCAGCTGCTCCTCTGAAATCCTATGCATGGTCTCTATGAGTTGGAACCTACTTCACAGCACTTAATAACAATTTAATGTCTGTGAAAGCACACCACAAATTCTGATTAAGACAATCAATTTAGGGGGAAATAACTGTATTTTAGGAAGATGCACAAATGCTCTTTAAATACATCTTACATTTGAAATAATTTCAAACAATTCAATTTCAAACAATTCTTATCACTCATTTGGATAAATAAATATTGTTTAAAATGTTTCATTCAATTTGACAGTAGAATAAATAATACCAATGTGATGACTATATTAAAGAAAAGTAAAAAATGAGATTGCAAAATAATCCTAAAAAGGTTTAAAACTGCTTTTAGTTGAACTCCTTTAGTAACACCTTTTATAAAATCTAAAGTGCACTATGCTTATGGATTCCATTAAATAAATTCCTTAAATATTTCTACATGGCATTAAAATGTTGGTCTAAGCAAATCTCGTGCTACTACTTAGAGCACTTTGTTGTTAAGTGCCGTCGAGTCAGTTCCGACCCATAGCGACCCTGTACCGGGTTTCCGAGGGTGTAAATCTTTACGGGAGTAGAAAGCCTCACCTTTCTCCTGCGGAGCAGCTGGTAGTTTCGAACCGCTGACCTTAAGGTTCACAGCCCGATTCGTAACCACTACGCTACCAGAGCACTTTAGCCAACAGAAATCTGCTTTCTCACAGGTTAGGAGGTTATGAGACTGAATTCACAGTCCCACCTCTAGAAGGCTTTCTCTTTTGACTCTGGAGAAAGTTCCTCTTTACCTTGTGCTGCTGCTGCTTCCTGCTTCCGTGGAGATCTCCATGTATCTTGGCATCTCTGCTCACTCACTTGCTTGTTTAATTTCTTTCTCAGAAGTGATTAACTCAAATATTACCCTACACTAGTCTTGTCTCATTAACACAAAAATGACAACCCATTCCCAAATGGAACTGAAACCACAGGCATGGAGATTAAGATTTACAACATCTATTGTGAGGGACATAATTCCATCTATGGAGTCCTGGTGTGGCGCTGTGGGTTAACGCGCCAGACTGCAAAGCCGCTTGAACTGCAAGGTTGGCAGTTCAAGCTCACCAGCTGCTCCTCAGAAACCCTATAAAGGGTCGCTCTGGGTCGGAACCGACTCGACGGCACTTCACAACAACAACAATTCCATCTATAACATTTGATACTTTAGCCCCACAAAATTCATGTCCTTACTATATAACAAATCACATTCACATCATTGCAAAAGCCTTAAAGCAACTCCAAGTCCAAAAATCTCATCTTTCAAATCATCCAAACCAAGTATGGGTGAGACCATGCAGGTGTACAAGGGTAACTCCAATTTTAAAAATGCATGGATTTATTCCAAACAAAACATGTTCAAACATGTCTCTACAGTTACTGGGCGGCGGGACAATTTCTCAGACTTGTTTTAGTCTCATTGCTGTTGTTGTGAAGTGTCGTCGAGTCGGTTCCGACCCATAGTGACCCTGTATAGGGTTTCCAAGGAGCAGCTGGGGAGCTTGAATCGCCGACCTTGCAGTTCAAACGACTTTGCAGTCTGGCACATTAATCCACAGCGCCACACCAGTTAGTCTCATTAGAGAACCCTAAAAAAATCCAATCACAATATTGGCTTCTGAGGAGATCCGTTGGGCCAGTTAAAATCAAGGCAGAGGGGTCAGTCAGCTCAGAAGGTTGTGTCAACTGTTTTGGAGGGACGGGAATTTGAAAGAGATCATCTTAGGAAATTTTCATGAAACACACAGCAAAGTAATGGGAGGTTACTATGAAGAAGTTTTAAGAAAATTTAAACCTGCATTGAGGAGAAAAGGGCCACCAGGTAAGTGTGCTGAGGAAAAATGGTTCCCCATCATATGAATGCACTTGCTCATTCTTTGAGGGTATCAAGGACTGTTATATGAGACTTTCCATAGGAAACCTTACTCCATCCACCCTCAAGTCCTGACTGTGCCCTTCAGACTTTTATTTGGGTCCACAAAACGCAAACAGCATTTAAAAGGAACACAATTTGAGTTCCTTTAGTGTTGCGGACCGTGTAAGACTGGTCAGAGGTTCGAGGCCCTATAGGCCCGTGTGTAACAAATGAGGCCACTGGCAGTTAATGGCAAATTGCTTTCATCTTAATATTGTTACATGTATTAATTTAATACATGGAACTCTTGATAATCCACAGATAAATGTGATATTTTCCTAAAGCTTAAACTTAAAGTTTGCAGGTTCAGGCTTTTTTCCAAAGGATTAACTAAAAATATCTTAGCTACTTCTCGGTTCTTTGTTCTATAGACAAAGAACCCATCCTCCCTAATCCTTTTCCAGGTGCAGCCCATTCACCTGGGCGTCTAGTCCTCCTGCAGACCTGGCTCAGGAAGCCCAAACGGCGGGACTCCGCCCAAGCTTTTGTCCTTACCTCTCACCTTCCCCCAACTGAGCTCAGGGGCTATAGATATGTTCATTGGGCCTGAGAATCCAAGTTGCTGGTCTGGGATTCGAACCAGTAAAGTACGATGTAAAGTTACCTGAATGTCTGGAAAAGTACTGATGTTAGCTGTACCTTGCCTTGGTCCCTCCCAGCTTGGTGTGAAGCTCCTCCCCTAAATAAAGCAGAGGCCCGGGCCTCCCCAGGTGTGCATTACAAGATGGAGGGCATGCCGTAAAGATGGCAGGGCAGTGAGTTGCTGCCTGCAGAGGCCATGATGCCTGTAGTCCCAAGCCTGCCCACCAGTGATGTATCCACCCTGGCTTTGGGGTGCCTCATTGTCTCTCTCTTTGTCTCTTTCTGTGTATTCTTGCTATATATTTATCGCCGTCAGGTAGCTCCTCCTCGTGAACCGAACCCCTATGTCGAGGCAGGTCCCTGACACTTGATGATGCCCAAATTAGGTTTTGACACATGATAAATCGAAGAGTACAGAATTCTTCAGGGAAGGTTACGCAATAAAAACACCACCTTCAGAAACGCATAGACCTAGACGGAGGACATGTTGAGAAACAAAAGTTTTTACTTTTTCGCATTTTAAATTAATACTTGGTAGCACTACTTTTTAACTTGGTACATTTGGCACAAGGTAACATTTCTATCACAAATGGAACTAATGGAAGGAAAGAAGGATAACTGGTACCAAGTAAGTCTAAAACTCAGTAGGAAAATATACACTGGTTCTCCAGTTTCTAGAGTAACCGTCTGTTCTCTGAAACCATCTAGGTCATGGCCCTGTCCTACCCTCTGGATTCTAGGTGAAGGAGCCCTTGTCCTTGGGCTTCAGCTCTGCCCTCCAGGCACAGCAAACAGCAACTCTACTCCCTCAGCATTGGGTAGCCCCATTCTCCTAGGCTACCATCTGAGTGGTAACCCCATCTCCTTGTCCTAAATATGGCCTTGGGCACAGAAGCCCAGCTCCCACAGCTTTGCACAACGGCTCTATCCCCCTGGCACACCTTAATGGCAGCCCCAAACTCCAGAACCAAATTGGCAAAAGTCCAACTCTTTGAAATCCAGGAGACTATAGCCCCAACCTTTGAAGGCAAGATGGTCCTATTTCCCACGTTCA